AAGCATGGGTCTATTGAATCAGAGTTCATGCATATACCACAGCTGAGGTAGTTAGATATGTAAACATATAAAGTTTAATTGTAAATATGGAGTTAATTGCCAAAAATACCATTGGCATTTGGCAATTTATTTAACAAGCCATCTTCATAGAAGTACGTTACCTTTTGACAATTGTTAATTCTTTTACAAATTGCAACCTGAACAGTATTCCGTGAATGTGTCCCTATTTTGGAAGATAATTTGGGTCTACCAAAATTCGGGGCAAAACTCAAGGGTAGTTTTTTGAATTATCCCTATATACTCTAGTAGAGCCACAATACTCAGTTGTAAAGCACAAAGAGAGAGAGAGAGAGAGATAGAGACTGACCGTTGCCCGGTAGGGACAACCGCTTCTTTCCAGGTTTATTTGTAATAGCCGACCTCTCCTTTGGATTACTGTGAGATCTCGAGATAACATTAGGCCTTGAGGTAGCTTCCTCAGCCAAGTCTTCAACAACCGGTTTAGACAGCGAGCCAGGTTTCTCTTGTGCATTGGCCGACTTGTTGGGTGTTGAAGAACTGCATGCATCCGAATGGGATGCAGCCGCCCTTTTTTCATTCGAGAGATTGGAGTTATTGCTCGAACGAGGACCTTTCCCATTTGCAACATTTGACATGCCTCTCTTTCCTTCTGAATTCGACAGCGCGTTCTTCACCTCAGCCGGTTGATTTTGATTCTCGTGAATTTTGACACCATCTTTAAGGTTAATGTCTAGTAAGCGATTTTCCCATGGTCGAACGGCCATCCACCTTTCTAACCAATTCCAACCCCAGCTGCTTTTATCAGGTTGAAAACAAGCAGGAGTTACATGCTGCCTTGATCCCGCCTGCCACTGCATGATAATTGCAGGATTGAATTAAATAAAATGTAAATAAAAACAATAAATAGCTTGCCGATACAACAAGTAATCTATCTGATTCATCTGCCTTGACCTGATGGTATTGTCATAAATGCTAAAACTTTACATGCAAGGAAATAAGCATGTGCACTTTGAAAAATCTTTATTTACGAGTTTAAATGAAGAGAAAAAAATAAATATGTCCAGCTAATTATAATATGAATCGCCTTTTAAGGAGAATCTCACAACTTAAGGAATTATATCTTCAATTCAACATTTTACCAGATTCAGAATAGACAAATTATAGAACTTGTGAATTTTAGACCAGCAAAGCAGGGAAGACAAGCTAAATCAGACATAGTCTTCATTATGTTGTTTGTCCCTTTAATTCCTCCACCATGAAAACCCACACAATTTTAAAATAAACAATTTGAAAAGATTAAGTAGCTTAACCTAATCTCCAAGAGAAAAGAAAGAACTTGTATGGTTTGTTAACAATTTATCAACATTTCCAATATGATTTTTTTGAACTGTTACATCTAGATGTAGTACTTCATTACTTCAAAAATAATGTATATTGTTTGCGTATAAATGAAGTTATTAGTTTGTTTTCTTACCTGGTTAGCTAAAGCATATGCCATTGCTCTTTCACGCTTAGCTGCCGCCTCCTTCCTCTTCAACAACTTGGCCTGAATTTCTTCAACAGAACCAACACTGTCACACCATCCATCCTGGTTTATAGT